CGGTGCAGGCGATGCCCGCGCGGCCCTGCCCCCACTCCCAGCCCCACCCCGAGGCCCGGCAGGGACGAGCTGAGGGAGCGTTTAGAGCAGGGGCTTTCCCGTTAGCGTTGTCTGTGGAGGTGTTGTGCTTGTGAGAGGAAACATCGCTCTTGGAAAGCAACCGAGCCCCCCGTGCGTGCGTCATAGCGCGGGAGCCGGACGATGCTCTGCGGCCTCGCCCTGTGGGTCGGGCCCCTCGTCTGCTCAGGCGCACGTGGACACTACTGTGAAGCTGAAACATGGGGGGCTTGGGGTACCCACTGAGTTTTAACTACCTTGTAATTGGTCTGCGCTTAGTGTAAGCTCTATGTCACAGGGACACGTGGGCTAAAGGTCAAGAGGATGTGGGGGGGTGCCCGCTGTGTGTGCGCGCGCAGATGCCACTCATGTGTCCACACGGCCTTGCACATACATGTGCATCACACACGCACCCACTGCTGCCTCCCGGCATCACTGAGAGCCGTGACCGTCAAACCTCACCTGCAGAGAGGATCACGGTGCAGAGTCCCGGGCCCCAGCCCCAGAATTTCTGAGTTTGCGGATTTGGGGTGGGTCCCAGAATCCCTTGTGTAACAAGTTCCCGGGGGACCACGCTGAGGACACCGCTAAGAGAGCTCTCACTCTGCGACTCAGGTAACAAATTGAGTGATGAGTAACAAGTAGGTTACTAAAGTAATACATCCGTCCAGGAGCTCCCACAGAGCAGGGCTGGCTCAGGTGGGAAGCAGCCCCCGAGGTCGGCGGCTGTGCCCCGTGTCCAGGTCATGCTTTGGAGTGACCGTGGCTCCTCCTCCCCACAGGTCGTCAGCCCCGGCCTGTCTGTCTGGGCTGAGGTCTCAGAGCCTCTGACTTTCTGCTCCCCCTGCTGCTCCAGAAGACGCTCCTGAGTGTGAGTGTGTGTGCGTGCCGGGCATGCGAGCACCTCCCTCTGCAGAGGGGGGAATGATTGCTCGCGCCATGCGCTCGCCCTCCCCGCCGTGCACTCGGCCACAGCCGTGGGTGGGTCAGGCCACGTGGTGAGTCTGGGCCCAGCTCTTGTGTTTGCAGTTCTGGGACCTCAGCTTGGTGCTTTTTTACCGTGAGCCCCCTTCCGTGGGAAAGAGGCCCTCTGTGCGCCGTAATTGTGCGTCCCCTGATTTCTGGCTGAGACAGTGGGGGGCTGACGTGACTGCTTCTGAGAAGTTGTGAAGCGCCCGCTTCACAGACCGCACTGTCCGGTAGGAGCCGGATGTGACCCACGTATATAATGTAAACTTTCCAGCAGCTTCAATAAAAATTGGAAAGAAACAGGTTAATTTTACTAAGACTTTAACTGTATATAAACACAGTTCTGTTTCAGTGTAATGATCAGTGTGCAGGTTTATCAATGACGTATGTAAATTAGATTTTTCGTACCAGGTGGCTGAGACCTGGTGTGCGAGTCCCAAGGCCCCAGGCCCCCGGCCCCCAGCATTGCCGGCCGCCCCACGCTGCTCGGGGCCGGTGTGCGGGGCTGCTGCCTTGGCACCTCCCTCCACTGCACCGACCGGGGGACAGTTGGTCCAGAGCCTCTCCTGCCACCCACTTGGGTCTGATCTCACGGTGCCAGGTCCTCCCTCCCTGTCGGTCTGCTTTCTGGTTCCCCCTGTGGCCCCCTGTGGCCTGGGGTTTATGGACAAGGGGATGGAGCCAGGGGCTGCATGTTTTCAAGCCGCGGTCTTGACTCTGAACTTGAAACTCCGTTCTTGAGTAAATAGTGTTCTGGGTGACACGTCCGCACGGCTCCCACTGAGACGCATGGCCCAGGCCGTCTCGGGGCTTCCCCTCATGTGGGGTCTTCTGTGCAAACCCTGTGAAAGCTCAGTGTCCAGCGAGGTAAGAGAACACAGGTCGTCTGGTTTACACTGAAGTCTCGGCTGGCCAGAGTCCCCTCTACATTCAGACTCCAGAATCTGCGTCCCCCAGAGGTCCTCCTCATCTGTCCTCCCCTCCCAGCCCCTCCCCGGGGACGGGAGGGTGGAATCCGCTCTGTTCTGCACACGAATGTGAGCAGCTGTTTACTAGAAAACCAGGCTGTGTGTGCAGGGGAGGAGCACGCTGCTGGGCTGCAGGGTCATCAGAGAGAGCGAGCCAGGGTGAGGGTCTGTGCTGCCCACGATGGTGGCGGGGGACCCGAGAACCTGAGCCGAAGCAGGGAGGGAGATGCCGGGGCGCTGCGCGTCACTGCTGACCCCCGCGCCAGACGCTTGTCATTTTAGTGACTCAAACGCTCCCTGAGCTGCCTCTTACCGTGCCGTTAACTAGAACCCTTTCCGGAAGTCAGTTACAGTTACTAAACTAGCTCAAAATAATCGGATTCCTGAGAAGATCGTGACACTAAAAGCTCAGCAAACATCACAAGAGAGCTGTCCACCCGCTCGGGCCCAGGGCCCTGTGGGGGTCCCCGGCGCTGTCGCGACAGGGCATCGATGACCCGATTCGGGCAGAGGTCTCCTCCCGCAGCCCCGGAGGCTGCAAGTCCTAAGTCAGGGGTTGGTGGGGCTGGGGCTGGTCCCGCTGCGCCCCGAGGGCGATCTGCGCCCCCTCCCAGCTCTGCAGGCTCTCGGTGGTCCTCACGTGGAGTCCCCGTGTGCCTGCCTCCCAGTCTCCCCTCTTACAGGGACTCCAGCTGTGCTGGACCAGGGCCACCTGATGACCTCACTCTCCCGTGGTCACCTCTGTAAGGACTCTGTCTCCAAATACGGTCCCGTCTGAGGCCCTGGGGGTCGGGCTGCAATGTGTGAACTTGAGGGGGGTCGCAGTTCAACCCATAATAATCCCTGTTGGACTGTGACAGGAGGGGTCACGCCTGTGAGCGTGGAATTTAACTTCTCTAAGACTCCTTGGTAAAGAAAGTGGTCTCGTCTAATTCTCAGTGACTTTCAGACCTGTTAAACTGCTGGATTTTAGTTCA